CCTCATCGAGGAGGGAAATTGTTTTGGATTGCTATCTATCTGTTTTGGATTGCTATCTATTGGGGGGGAGCCTGCAACTTACCTGGCTGCTTCTTGCTCCTCTGGGCTTCTGGGAGCAGGGGGCGGGGCTTGTTGCATGGGCCCGCCCCCTGGGGTCTTTATTGCCGGAGCTCCGCTCCTGTGCGCTCCCGCAGGGTGACCCCCGTGTATACTGAAAGCGAGCATGTTGGGCAGAGGACAATTAGGCCAGACACTCCTCCCTGAGATAGTAGTTTGCTTCCACGCCGGGAGGTTTTTATATTTATTTATTTGCCCTCTGCTTTTCTTTCTGAGGCTCAAGGTGGATTAAGGTGTAAGTCAATACAGTCAATAAGTGATGACGTCTGACCGGCAGGGTAGCAGGATTAGGATGAGAAAGATCAGAACCAAAGCATAAAGTATTGGATATGATACATTAGGCAATGCAGAAAACGGTGTTATGTAAGTAAAAAAGCAATACGGTGAGAACCGGATAGAAGAGACGGTGGGGATGGGTCCAGCCATTCTCTAAGTAGCCTTCCTCCAGCTGAAGCGTCTCTTTTCCCAACTTGTGGGTCTTCCTCCAACGGAAGAGCCGCTTAAGGTAGAGGAAATTCCCGTAGAACTGGAGGAAGGCTACAAACCTTGGGCCAAATGGAAAGTTGCGGCAGACCGGTTTTAATGAATGAATAAACTTTTGCTTAGTGGAGTGGTCGGATTAGGGTAGGATCCACCCCACGGCATACTATACACAGTGGTATAGTCACCTGTGGTGTAAAATGGTATGTCCCTGACAAAGATCTCCCACTTTGTTCTCCTGAATGTATAAACTGGCTCTGAGTGTTTTGAGAAAGAGATGGGGGTTCTGAATCCTGTTTGTCTCTGACCACCTTCGCTCCTGCTCTTTCTCCCCTTCCCTCCGCTTTCTGCTTCCTCTCACTTCCTCCCACATTCCCCACCCCACCCCCGGACAAGCGACCCATTTCCCTGCATGGACCCAATTCCCTCCCAACTGCACCCCTGCCACTCTTGACCAGGGGGCGCCTCTCCCTCTGTGTCCCCTTGGCTGATCCTCCCTCTCTTCTTTCTCCCCCCAGTTGCTCCCCAGAGGATCTGGGCTGGGCCAGACTCTCCATGCTCCGATCCGGGTGAGTCCCGGCTGACGCTGGGGGAGGATGAGGCTGCCCAGAGGCTTGGGGAGGGGGGGGAGCAGCTCTCGAGAGGGGGAGAAAGCGTCTTCACCCACCCTGTGTGTTCCTTGCAGGCGAGCCCATCCGGCCCATCGACCCCGCAGCTTGGGTGTCCCACACGGCGGCGATGACCGGCACCTACCCGGCGTACGGTATGAGCCCATCCATGAGCACAATCACTTCCACCAGCTCCTCCATCACCAGCTCCATCCCCGAAACCGAACGTAAGTCCTCGTGCCTGTGTCTCCCCCACCCCTGTTCGGCTGCGCCTGATGGGAGCAACACATGCACAGGGGCACAGGAACTCCCCCCCAGGTCAAGGGGCGGAAGAGGAACCCGACCCTCTGCAAGGGTGGTTTCCCCTCTCCACCCCCACCGATAGCTTGTGAGCCGCTTGGGCAGGGCTGTGACTTTTCCTGTCGTTTCGTGAGGCGTCTTAATGCTTAAGGAGCCAAACGTTTCAAACGCAAGGCGAGAGGGAGGGAAAGGGCGTGGAGGCGGCAGTGGGGAAGACAGGCCTGTTTACGGCTGCTGGACTCGGTGGAAGACACTTTGTGGTTTTTATGTCCCCTAGCTCAGAGGTCCTCAACTTGGTGCCCGCTAAGAGTTGGCGGGGCCAAGGCCCGGCAAGGCTTCTGATTGGCAGTTGGAGATTTGATTGGCTGTGCAGATTTTCAAAAACGTTGCTTTGGCGGCAGCTGCCACCCACAGCACAAGAATTGTCACCGTGTGACTGGAAGTGAGCGGCGGCAGCCATTTTGTGGCCAACTCCACTTCCTAAGGCAGCCATTTTGTGGCTGCGCTCACCGTGTTGTGTCAGAATTCCAGAGGTGCCCACAGGGTCAAAAAGGTTGGGGACCCCTGCCCTAGCTCATATGGAGGGTTTCCAAGTTAAAGTCAGCTTTTAGAGCTACTTCGCTACAAAAAAATGTCTGCTGGGGCTTTGTGGCCGGTTGACCAGAGCCGTAAGTAAAACATGGTTTAGGCTGATCCAGATACTGAATACTAGAACAGTTTTCATATAGGTGGCTTGAAAATTAGAGTATGTTTGGTGTTGTGGTTTTTTGTGTGTGTACTAAGATGTAAGCTACTGATTGTGTTTTTCTTATTATTATTATGGGTACCATTAGGCATTCCTTCATGAGCCACCTTGAACCATTCAGAGGGAAGGGGGATACAGATCAGTGTAAATAAACTACCCTTAAACAACTAGATGCGTGGGGTAGACTTCTAGGCATTTCCAGGGGCCATGGCTCAGTGGTAGAGTCTCTGCTTGGCATGTAGAAGGTCCTGGATTCAGTCCCCGGCATCTCCATTTAAAAGGACCTGGCAGGAGGTGATGTGGAAGACCTCACCCTGAGACCCTGGAGAGCTGCTGCCAGTCTGAGTAGACAATACTGACTTTGATGGACCAAGGGTCTGATTCACTATAAGACAGCTTCTTGTGTTCATGTGACTGGTTAACCCTGGGATAGTGTGGCTTCCTGGGACATTGACATGATTAAAAGGTGAATCTGAAGGAGTTTCGAGAGAGGAAAAGCAGGGTAGGGTCTTCTTGGCTTGGCTCTCGTGGTCAAGGGGCCACAAGATGACCGGCATTGCATAGCAGAGGGCACAAAAGAAAGGGAAGAAAATAATTATCCTTTAATTGTGTAGAAACGAATTGTCGTTACGTACAGTGCAAAAAATCCCTGTAAAGTGTAGCCATTTCTGAATGTCCTGATAATAATCGAATTCCATATAGAACTGCAACCGATCAAATTCCAGATAGATTCAGGTGGGTAGTGTTATGTATTGCCTAATAATAATAATAATAATAATAATAATAATAATAATAATAATAATAATAATAATAATAATAATAATAATAATAATAATAATAATAAGACGAGCGTGTCTCCGACTGCCTCCCCGACCCCGCCTCTCTCGCCACTCCTCTCTCCCAGAGCCTCTGTCCCCGTGGGGGGAGCGCAGTGAGTTGACTCTCTCTGGGTCCCCCACGGTCACATCGTTGCCCGAACCCCTTCTCCATGGGGTTCGGTCTTCTGAGGGGGGCCGATGGTCCACCGCTTGTCCGCGGCGGGACACATAACAACTGACAAAGGCCAGACTCCAACAAGACTCCAACAGAAAAAAGTCTGAGGAAGATATCGAAATTTATTTATTTATTTGATTGATTCCTAGCCCGCCCTCCCCTGCAGTGCAAGGCTCAGGGTGGGTTACAACAATACAACAAATGGTGACTTGTTTAGCTGGCAGACCATCCAGTCACTTGTTATCATGACATTCAGAAATTGGTTACACTTTCGTGGAATTCAATTGAACAACATTGGGAGTCCAGGAGCACCCTTTAAGACCCACAAAGTTTAATTCTGGGCATAAGCTTTCGTGTGCGTGCTGCACACTTCTTCAGATGCACGCACACAAAAGCTTATACCCAGAATTAAACTTTGTGGGTCTCAAAGGGTGCCCCTGGACTCCCAAAGTTGTTCAGTTGAATTCCACGAAAGTGTAACCAATTTCTGAATGTCATGATAACAAGTGACTGGATGGTCTGCCAGGTAAACAAGTCACCATTTGTTGTATTGTTGTAACCCACCCTGAGCCTTGCACTGCAGGGGAGGGCGGGCTAGGAATCAATCAAATAAATAAATAAATTTCGATATCTTCCTCAGACTTTTTTCTGTTGGAGTCTTGTTGGAGTCTGGCCTTTGTCAGTTGTTATGTGTCCCGCCGCGGACAAGCGGTGGACCATCGGCCCCCCTCAGAAGACCGAACCCCATGGAGAAGGGGTTCGGGCAACGATGTGACCGTGGGGGACCCAGAGAGAGTCAACTCACTGCGCTCCCCCCACGGGGACAGAGGCTCTGGGAGAGAGGAGTGGCGAGAGAGGCGGGGTCGGGGAGGCAGTCGGAGACACGCTCGTCTCCAATGATGGGGGAAGGGCGCGCTTGGTCCCAGATGCAGGACAAATGGAGAGATCCAGCCTTACCTGGAGGGAGGGGTCGGGAGACGCCACAGTTGTTGGCGTCGGGACCTGGAAGCGGCCACTCCCCTGCGCAAGGCCGTTCAGGGGAGGAACCCCGAGGATCACAGGAGGGCGGGACTAGAAGCACACCAGAGGAAAAGTGGAGGGCAGCGATAGGCTCAGGACGTGTCGGTAGGGTGGAGGAAAGGAACGGGAGGAGTCACCAAGGGAGCGGGGGAGATAAAAGGAGGGAAACAAAGAGGGCCAAAGAGGATGTCAGTGGTGACTGGCTGCAGACCGAGAGAGAGAAAGATAGCTGCTGTTAACCCCAAGGAGGGAATACTTTGAGTGCTGAAACTCCAGAAACCTCCTAGGTCTGAGGCCCTCATTTCCCTCTTGAGTCTCAGTCCTAGCAACCGGTGCTCCAAGCCCTGGGGAATACCCCAGGGCACGACATTATGACCTGTTGTTTATACTGGTCAATGATAGAAGAAGAAGAAAAAGGACAACCGCAGACTCACAGAATTGGAAGGGGCCCTAGAGGCCATCCAGTGCTCAGTGCAGGATTAGCCTAGAGCACAGGTGTCAAACAGGCAGCCCGGGGACCAGATCAGGCTCCCGGAGGGCTTGTGTGTTTGTCAGAAAAGCAAGCGACCTGGTGGTGAACTTTCTTTTTCTGGTTCACGGAAGGGTAGAAAGATTCTGGGTATGGCTGGAATGCCTTGTGAATAGAGGCTGCTGATTGACGGTGGCCAAAAAGGCCTGGAGCCGCCTCCAGCCCTTCTGATGGTTGATGTGATTTGAGTGGTGACTTCCTACTTTGTAGGCACTGGAGGAAGTTGGTAGATTTCTTGTCGGATGCAGGAGGATTACTGGAAGGGATTTCAGGAACGAGGAGAAGTGGGGACTGCTAGGCAAAAATCTCATGAAGTGAGCAGAAAATGGAAGGTCTCATTTATGTCAGATCCGGCCCTCATAACAAATGAGTTCGACACCCCTGGCCTACAGCGTCCCTGACAAGTCTTTGTCCAGCCATTGCTTAAAGACTGCCAGAGAGAGGGAGCTCACCACCTCCCGAGGCAGCTGATTCCACTGCTGAACAACTCTTACTGAACAACAGCTGCATAGAATCATGAATGTGTGATCCAGTCTTTCACATACAGCTGAGATAACAAAGAGGCCAAGGTTTATGTAGGGGTTGTTTGCACTGTATATATAATAACAGTTTGCTTTTATACAGTTAACTTTGGTACTTAGTACCTTTCGTGGTTTCTTACAGCGGTCTCTCCTCTTTTTTGCTGTTTTCCCGTGGACCGGGGTGTGTGTGTCAGAACAGCAAGCGACCTGGTGGCGAACTTTCTTTTTCTGGTTCCCGGAAGGGTAGAAAGATTCTGGGTATGGCTGGAATGCCTTTTGAATAGAGGCTGCTGATTGACGGTGCCTGGAGCCGCCTCCAGCCCTTCTGATAGTTGACGTGATTTGAGTGGTGACTTCCTACTCTGTAGGCACTGGAGGAAGTTGGTAGATTTCTTGTTGGATGCAGGAGGATTACTGGAAGGGATTTCAGGAACGAGGAGAAGTGGGGACTGCTAGCCAAAAATCTCATGAAGTGAGCAGAAAATGGAAGAGGGTCTAGGCAGCTACCTTCTTGAGATCTGACTGGCGTTTGGCTGTAGGCTGTCAGTTCACCCTGTTGCAAAGTCTGGGAGCTGCTGCTGCTGCTGCTAACGTTGCATTGTTGAACTTAAGCAGGAATAGAATAAAAGAAAGAGAAAACATCCGTGGGACAATCCAGTTAAGTGTGAGAGCAAAGCCCTTCGGTCTAAATACATAAAATGCTCAAACATAAGTCCATGCAGAAGGTCCCGTACTTAATTGGGTCGTCCCATGGACGTTTTCTCTTTTTCGTATTCTATTTCTGGGTTCCTGTGGGACTTTTGTTGTATGGTTTTGAACTTAAGCAGGGGCATATTTGATCAGCACTTGGATGAGAGGCCGCTAGAAGTCCCATGTCAAAGTAGAGCAAAACATAAAGATAAATTGGAGGGAAAGA